GAGCTGGAGCCTCAGAGCTAAAGCTGGGCCAGAATTAAAAAAAAAAAGAAAAAAAGGAGCGGTTGGGAGCTTCCATCACCCACCAGCCTGAAAACAGCCCTCAGCCCCTCACCCAGACTGGCCAGGCACCCCAGTGGGGACCCCCACCCTGAAGGGTGTGTGACCAGCTGCAAACAGCCATCATCCCCTCACCCAGGCTGGCCAGGAACCCCAGTGGGGACCCCCACCCTGATCCAGGACACCCTTCAGGGCAAACCAGCCGGCCCCCACACATGCACCAGGCCTCTATCCTATATAGTAAAAGGGTAATATGCCTCCCAGCACCGGGATCAGTGGAGCCGCGAGGCCTCCCGGCACTGGGGTCAGCATGACGGGGCAGCGCCCAAACCCCCTGATCTCCCTGTGGCTCTGTGTGTGACAGGGTGTGGCGTCCTCCCCCCCCCCCCCCCCCCAATGGGCCCTGCTCTGTGTGTGACGGGGTAGAGCCATAACCTCCCCATCGGCCCTGCCCTGAGTGTGACAGGGGGCGGTGCCCCAACCCCCCAATTGGCCCTACCCTGAGCGTGACTGAGGGTGGCATCGCAACCTCCAGATCCGCCCTGCTCTGTGCATGACAGGGGCGGCGCCCCAACTCCCCAATCAGCCCTGCTCTGAGCCCGACCAGGGGCTGCACCTAGGGATTGGGCCTGCCCTCTGCCACCCGGGAGCAGGCCTAAGCCAGCAGGTCGTTATCTCCCGAGGGGTCCCAGACTGTGAGAGGGCACAGGCCAGGCTGAGGGACCCCCTTTACCCCCGAGTGCACAAATTTTTGTGCACCTGGCCTCTAGTCTATAATAATAAAAGGCTAATATGCTAATTAGACCAGTCGTCTTTCCGGATGTCATTCAGGACGTCCTTCCTGACGAAGCTGGGGCCAGAGGGAAGCCAGCCTGGGTCCCAGGTGCCAGAAGGTTCCGGCAGCCGGGGGAAGGAAGGCCTACTTTTCCACGAATTTTCATGCATCAGGCCTCTAGTCTATACTAATTAGACCGGGAGACCTTCCGGACATCCTTCTGGACAAAGCCATGGTGGCGGAGCCGAGGCAGAGGCAGTTGGGGGTGACCAGCCGGTGGGGGGGGGGCAGTTGGGGGCGAACAGGCCAGCGGGGGGCGGGCAGTTGTGGGCGATCAGGCCGGCGGGTGGCGGGCAGTTGGGGGCGAGCAGGCTGGCAGGGGGGGTGGGTTGGGGGCAAACAGGCCAGCGGGTGGGGGGGGCAATTGGCGGCAAGCAGTGTGGGGCAGTTGGGGGCAAGCAGGCCGGCGGTGCGAGGCAGTTTGGGGTGATCAGGCTGGCGGGGGAGGGCAGTAGGGGGCCATCAGGCTGGCAGGGAAGGACAGTTAAGGGTGATCAGACTGGAAGGGGGGGCAGTGGGGGCAATCAGACTGGAAGGGGGGGCAGTGGGGGATGATCAGGCTGGCAGGCAGAGTGGTTAGGGGCGAGCAGGCAGGCAGGTGAGCCGTTAGGAGCCAGTGGTCCCGGATTGCGAGAGGTCGGATATCCCCCAAGGAGTCCCAGATTGGAGAGGGTGCAGGCTGGGCTGAGGGACAACCCCCCCCTTCCCCCCGCCCTCGTGCACAAATTTCATGGGCCACTAGTTTTGTGTGTGTGTGTGTGTGTGTGTGTATGTGTATATATATATATGTGTGTGTGTATATATATATCTCTACTAGTATGTCTCTCTCTATATATATATAAAACGAATATTTCCTCTGAGCCTGTGGCTTGTTTTTTAATTTTCTTAAAGGTATTTTACTATGAGCAGAAATTTTATTTTAAATATATTTTAAATTGTTTTTTTAAAGAGGGGAAGGGAGAGGGGTAGAGAAATAGAAACATTGATGAAAGAGAAATATCATTGATCAGCTATCTCTTGTATGCCCCCACCACTGGGGATGGAGCCCACAACCTGCGCATGGGTCCTGACCAGGAATAGAATGGGTGACCTCTTGGTTTTTGAGTCAATGCTCAACTGCTGAGTCACACCGACTGGGTAGAACATTTTTATTGTGATGAACACTAATTTTGTGACCAAAGATATCCTTGCCTACCCCAAAGTTGCAAAGATAATATCCCATGTTTTCTTCTGGAAGCTTTAATAGTATTACTGTTTTTAGCGTAGGTCCCTGATCTATCTCAACTAAGAAATGTGTGTGTGGTATGAGATTCATTCCTCTGTTTATTAGTCATGGCACCATTATTTATTGTAAAGACTTTGATTTCCCATTGAATTTATTGCCTTAGGGCTTCTGTTGAGCATCAGTTGACCACTTAAATTAGGATCTCTTTCTGGAATCTCTTTTTTTAAATTTCATTGGCAATACTGTCATGTCCTGATTACTTTGACATGACATCAGGTAGTGTAAATCCACCAATTTTGTTCTCTTTTTCAAGGTTGTTTGGGCTCTTCTAGGACCTTTGCATTTCCAAATAAAGTCTGTAATTGATTTGTCAATATCTACTAAAAATTTATTTGGATTTTGATAAAGATTGCATTGTATGTTTAGATAATATTGGGGAAAGACGAATGATCATGTTGCCTGTTAATAAACACAGTTTAATCCTTCATTTCCAGCCTGTCCTTTTATTTCTTTCTTTTGTTTCAAAGAAACAGTTTTCAATTCACCTTGGTCCTCTTTAGATTTCTTAGCTGGAGGTATAGGCATAGAATAAACTGTATTAGTTTTGGTTCTGTCATCCTATCCTATGTAATAAAGGGGTAATATGCAAATTGACCCTAACAGTGGAATGACCATTCGCTATGACGCGCAGTGACCACCAGGAGGCAGACGCTCAATGCAGGAGCTGCTGCCTGGTGGTCACTGTGCTCCCACGGGGGAGCTCCGCTCAGCCACAAGCCAGGCTGATGGCTGTGAGCACAGCAGTGGTGACAGGAGCCTCTCCCGCCTCCGCGGCAGCACTAAGGATGTCCAACTGTGGCTTAGGCCCACTTACCATGGGGAGTGGGCCTAAGCCATCAGTCAGACATCCCCCGAGGGCTCCTAAGCTGCCAGAGGGATGTCTGACTGCCAGCTTAGGCCTGATCCCCCAGGGAGCGGGCCTCAACCGGCAGGGGGACATCCCCCAAGGGGTCCCGGACTGCGAGAGGTCACAGGCCAGGCTGAGGGCCCCCCCACCTCCCCCCAGTGCATGAATTTTCATGCACCAGGCCTCCAGTATTTTATATTCAGCTTGTTTGAAAAGTCTTTGAACTATTACTACTAGTATTGTTGATGGTTGAATTAGAAATGACAGTTGTGATGGAGTCTTTGCTTCGTTGGTAGTCACTTATTCTCTTCTGTGGCCTTTTAGGGGATGGTTGCTAGACCAGCATGTGGCCTTTACCTCACACTTGTTAGCAATGCAGAATCTCAGGCCCCATCTGGACCTTCAGAATCAGATTCCCAGTCTTTGGTTAAAACATTAAGTTGGAACATTGTGGCCTGGCTGGTGTGACTCAGTGGTTGAGGATTGATCCATGAACTAAGAGGTCACTGGTTCAATTCCTGGTCAGGGCATATGTCCCCGTTGCAGGCTTGATTCCTAGTAAGGGATCTCATTGATGCTTCTATCTCTATCCCTCTCCCTTCCTCTCTCTCTAATAAAGAAATCAATACAAACATTTAAAAAGTTATAAATTGGAACATTGTGGATGGAGGTGGAGAATGAGCTCACCTGCGCTCAGTTTGAGTGTAGTGCAGCACACACCTAGCTGGATTCATCTTATATGTCACTCATTTTGGTTTCAGCTATTGAATAAGAGAGAAGTAATGGTATCAGACCAACAAAATGCCAAGATTTTAGTACTTTAAAGCTCTGTAGTATTGTGAATAGAATACCAAAAGGTGGTATTGCAATCACAAGGCCTAAAATAAAGTTACGGTTTACCTTCGTCATTCTGTTTTCAGGCATTTGCACTCCTGAAGATGTGCCTCTACTTGTAGGATTTATAACAATGAGTATGTACATTTGTAGCTGATCTTCTTACACAGAAAATGTTGGGGAAAGGATGCAAAATGATTGCATTGCTAGTTTAATATTTTTCTTGTACATTTGCCAGTGAAGCAGTTTATTTTTCATTGTTATGAATAAAGGACATTTAAATATTATGAGTTATGAAAATAAAGAGTTAATTTTTTTAAGTTTATAAAAAATATTTAAATGAATTTAGTACTCAGTATGTATCTAACAGTAGGTCACTAAGACTTAATATGAGGTGAAGAGCGATTGGTGTCAAAAGGAACATGAGTAAAATGGGCAGTGAGAATTGTTGATGACAAGAAACATTTAGTTTTGGGGGCTAGATCAGGCAGAGTTTTTGTAGGAATAGGGATGTAATGAAATATAAGGTACAAGCTGGTTTTAGTGAGAAGCAGTGACTGAGGAAAAAGACCAGTCCTGCTGATTTGAAGCTTACCGTAGGTGCTGGTGGCCAGCTGCAGACAGGCACCGAGCAGAAGGGGAGTGATGAAGGACAGACTTGGGGGCTGCAAACAAACCAGCCCTCTAGCAGATGGGGAGCCTTAGGGGCAGCAGACATTCAAGGGGCTGGGTCAGCAATTACAGGACACGCCCAGCCTGTGTCAGGAAGGAGTGTACTGTCATCTGAGGTAAGTGACAAGGTGAGGCACATGCTAGTGAGTGAGCCCATGGACCTCCAGGGTTAGCTTAGTTAATACATTGGACTCTGCTAGAATCTGGATCAGACTCCAGGCCCGAAGGGGTTGTTGGAATTGATGTTTCTTCTCTCTGAAGTGTAATTAGCAACATGTAGTAATATAATCTTTTTCTAACATTAAGTTAATTTTTAATGTTTGAGATTATTTTCTCCTAGAATCTATTTAGTTTTTCACATTGCCTCATAAAAGGACATTTTACATCTTAAATATAAGTAACATATTCTTCAATCTTTAATTCAAGAGATGAACTCACTTTCCCCTTTGTTTTGTGTGTCTGCAATGTAGGGGAGTATGGAGACTTTGGAAATGCAGAAGGAAATAAAAGAAGAATCAGATGAAGAAGATGATGAGGATGAAGAATCTGGAAGATTGCGTTTCAAAACTGAAAGGAAAGAAGGAACAATTATTAGGCTCTCAGATGTAACTCGAGAGAGAAGGAACATTCCAGAAACTTTGGGTAACTCTTTTTGGCTGTCTCCCATCTTTCCTCATTCCCATTTCAGCTTCCTCCATAGTACTATTATGATTAATCAAATAGGTAAAGAAATGTTGACTTTATAGATTATTATGCATGCCATCAGAGGGGGATGGTCTGTGTGAAGACAGAGCTGAGCTACGGCGCTATAAAAGTCATTCCGTAAAAACACAAGGTGACTTGTTGTAGACACAATCAATTGACCGTCATTCTGAGCAAGTCCTGCAACTTAAAGATTGATAGTAGGCTGTGGCTGATTAACAGAGAGCCTTCCCACGGTTCCTTGCAGTGTCTGTTGCAGAGAATAAAGCAGTGGTTCTCAAATAGGAGTGAGCAAGTCACCTGGAAGGCTTGTTATCACAGATTCCTGGACCCACTCCCAGCATTTAGGGTGGAGCCCAACACAGGTGTATTTCTGATGCGTTTCCAGATGCTGCTGCTCTGACCGCACTTTGAGAACCGCTGGGATACTGTATCATATTCCGAGGAGGAGGATGGAAAGATGGAAGGCTAGAGGGTTCTACCTGCTCTCTGGCCTTGGTCAAAATAACAGTCAACTAACCCTTAGTTACTACCTTTATTACTTCTTAAAACCATTATTTGTAGCCATTTTCAGTTATAAACTGAGCAGATAGGAATTCTGTGTGATGACACTAAGTCCCCAAGTTGCACAAGTTAACAGGAATGAGCCAGTCATGTCATGCTACTTTACTAATGAACTTTGTGGAGAGATTGTTCTAGAATCGTACCGGTCTCCACTTCTTCCCCTAACAGTTTCTTCCATCTCTACCTTTTGGCCCAAGATTTGCTTAGACTTTTCTCAAGTTAAGGTATAAAGTTGTCAGTCTAGGACAGTGTAACTTTCTAAGAAAGGATTTGAAGTTGGCCTTGGGTAAAAGGAGATGAAGCGCAGGCCTTAAACATGGAAAAAAACAAAGGGCCCTCCGCAGGAGGATGGTAAGGATACAGAGCAAGCCGCTGGAGCACACAGCTCAGGCATGGGCTGGGATAATGGACAGGGCGAGATGGCACCCTTGGCTGAGCACTAGAGGGCACTGGGCAGCGGCTCAGTAGGGAAATGGCCTAGGTGCCATGTTGGAGAGTGCCCGTGTTGGGGGCGGGTGGTTGTGGATTATCCGGTTTCTGTGGCTTTGTTAGCTGGGATTGGCTTTGTTGCATTAATTGGGGAACCAGATATATCCAGTCATAATAACGGTGGAAGCTGCATGTGCTAAGGCTGTGAAATCACTTGATAGTCGCCATTAAGAATGGGGGAACCTTTCCCTCTGTAGCCAGCTCCCTATAGGCCATGGTTGATTTCATGGGTCACTCTCCCCTGACCCTTGCTACCTTTGCACAGCCCCTGGTCCTCAGCTGGGTCATCTTGTCCCTGTCCACTTTACCTTGACCTAGGCCTGACAATGGTGACACGTCCAGCTTACCTGTATTCATACTTTGTGTTTGTTTTATCCCTGCTTCTCTTTTTTATCAGGACCTTTTTCTCACTTTGTTCTTTTCAGTATCGTTTTTACTTCCTTTATTGCAGAATTTGTGTAAATCTTTTTTTCCTTTTCAAGGCATCTGGCAGCTTTATAGTCATGCCATCCTGAAACCAGGGGCTGGAAGGAATTAGTGGTGGGCAAGTCGGCCTTTTACATGTCAGGGAGAGGGTCTGAGGTCCTTAGAGGCATTGTGGCTTAAGCATAAACAATTTGACTTTTTATCATTCTTTCAACTTAAAAAAAAGGGCTTTAAATGCATTGGTGCAGAATGATTGGTTAGATAATAGGACAAATGAAAATGGGGCTTGAAAGTGTCTGTCTTGGCTCTGTATTTGTGAGCCCTAATCTAGGAAACATACATTTTCTAGAAACTGAAGAGTTAGGATTATTCCCGGTACAAGCAGGATTTTTCTGTCCATTTAGAGATTGGTTTCCTAAAAACAGTGAGCTCCCTTATTACCTGAACACTCCCATCCCCCAAACAAAAGGTTAATTTTATTTATAAGAAAGATACTGAGAGAGGCTGCTGCAGTATTTGATAAACTAGAAATTACAGCTCAGCTCTCCGTGTGCTTGTGGCGATGGAAACAGTAGTTTCATGTTTTGTGTAGAAATACTCTCATTTATTTGATTGATAAAGCTATTTACCTACTCTTTGTAATGGGTTTTAGTTTTAATATCTTGCTACCAGAATACATATGTCATATTTTTTTTGTCAAATGATGTCTTTTAGCATTTTGAATGCAAATAATTATTTTGTGAAATCATTGATTAATATTGAGAACACCCCACACTTTAAAAAGAAGAATGGAATGAAGCTCTGGCGCCCCCATTTCTGAGCCTTTAGTCTGCATGTGCCGTAGTAGTTCTCTTCAGGATTTAGAAGGTGCTTTCGCCATGTTGAATCATTTTCACGCTCAAATACATGATGCCAGTCTTAAAAATGAAGACTACTGATTCCTATCTGATAGTCTTGGCAGGTATGGAGCCCAACACAGAGCTGGTGGTTTTGTATTTTGAATTCCGATTTGAATTAGAATTTTGGGTTTTTAGTTAGGGTAAGATCTTAAGTAGTGAGCTTTCCCCTCATCCAGGATTCTGGGAATTAAACATTACAGAAAATGTGTGTTTCTCAGTTTTCCTAGGAATGGTGCAAAACTTGATAATTGGGCGATAAATTCATTTGTTACATACAAAGGATGCTGTAGGGCTTCTTTCGTGGAACCCAGTTGAGAAGGGTTTCTCTTTCTAGAACATATCTGTGTAAGGAATGGCCTATTTTGAGTGGTAAGGCCAGAAGCCGTTACTGGAATGTGGGTGTCCTTCACCAGTTTCCTGCAGTGTCCGCACAGAAGCTCCAAGCTGCCTGCTCTTCTGGCCTAGGAAGTGGACCTGGATTTTCTTTTAAGCCGTGCGAGCAATGAAGGAAAGACTACATTTATTTAAAAACATTACCTATGAGTAGGCATTTAGATTTTATGAGATTCTAAGCTTCACTGGCACATTTATTATGTTTAATTATGCTTTATTGCTTCAGCCTAAAGATCTTGTGATGCATGATGTTCTCTTTTAAATTGTATCCTCGGTTAATTTTTGGCACAGGATCTGTGGGGAAATGTTCCATGTGGTCTCATGCAGTTCCAGGTCTCTAGTGCCAGCACACTGCCCTGCGTCTGCACAGATCCTTGTGTTTGCAGGCTTAGTGTACATTTCCTGATCAGTTATCGTGTGAAAAACCAGATTACCGGGTGTTGTTTTTACTTTGCCAAATAAACTGTGTATTCTATAAATACTTATTTATTATGTATTAGTCTAATCATTATACAATTATTTGTATGTAAATTTGTTTTTCTTAAGCACATTTTAGAAAGGGACAATGCAGTGTAAAACTTGTTACATTGAGCTGTATCTCTACTTTAGAATCTGGACATAGTACAGAAAACACTTAAAGGGAAATTAACATTTCAGTTGAAGATACAAATGTAATTTCCATCCTGTCATATTTTGGTGACCTTTTGTGACAGCTTGTCTCAATTGGAGGAAAGCATTTTTACTTGCTGATTAAAGATGTCATTTGAAACCATTTTATTACTGGGGATAGTGAAATTAATCTTGACACTTAGAACCACTAGAAAAATAATTGCTGATTCACCGCATAAAATGTGTATGTGAACCAATCATGTCATCAAGATTAGAGTAAAAGTCTGTGCTTGTTAAGAAGAGATTAAATATTCCTTCGAATGGGGCCTCGATTCATTTGAAGGGGAGGGGTTACCATAGAAACCATTTCAAGGGGATGAAGTGTGGTTTAGAGATTTTGGAAGAGTTTAGAGATGACTATGGATTCCAAGGTAGGAGATAAACTCGTAATATTTACAATGGACCCTTCGTTGTGGAAGAAGGCATAAGAATGCTTCTCAGGACGCGGTTTATTAATGTAAGATACAATGCCACAACTCAGATAATATTTTGAAATAAAGGAATCATATTGGAGTCCGTCAGTTTTTTTCTTTTAGGACTTTAGAATAATGTGCCACCTGAAGTTTCTTAGAGACAGAGTCTATGTGTTTCGTATCCCTTAAGCCCTGATTTTCAACCACGAGTGAGCAGCAAGATTTTTAAAAACATGCAATACTGACTAGTCAGGGCACTGACCTCTTTTTCCTTAGACTGTCAAATAAAAAACAACAACAGCCAACACAACAATGGTTGTCTCTGTGAATGAATCAAAATTATACCTATTTTTTTTTGTCATATTGGCAAAAATATACTTTTTGGTGAGCCACAGAATTTCAATAATTAGATTCTATGTGCCATGAGATGTAAAAGGTTGAAAATCACTGCCCTGAAGTGTTGGTCAGACAGGTGAGCACCTACTAATACTGGTGTCCAACAAATGTTTGCATGAATATGTTTTCTCTTACGAGATTTTGCTCTCATTTGGCATGGTTCCTCATCAGAAGGCATGCATATAAATCTTTCTTCACTCAGCAAAGATTTTTTTTCTTTCTTTATAAAACTAAAAATTTGTAATGATAATAGTAAATGTTTTCCATTTTGTATGACATTAACATTAATTATTTTTTTATTTTTATTTTTATTTTTTTTATTGCTTAAAGTATTACAAAGGGTATTACATATGTGTCCATTTTATCCCCCCGCCCTAGACAGTCCCCTAGCCTCCCCTATCCCCCAGTGTCTTATGTCCATTGGTTATGCTTATATGCATGCATACAAGTCCTTTAGTTGATCTCTTACCCCCTTACCTTCTGCCCCCCAACCCTCCCTGGCCTTCCCGCTGCAGTTTGACAATCTGTTTGAGGCAGCTCTGCCTCTGTATCTATTAACATTAATTATTTTTTTATTTTTGGTTAATCCTCACATGAGGATATTTTTTCCATTGCTTTTTCACAGAGAGAGGGAGGGAGGGAAGGAGGGAAAAAGAGAGAGAGAGAAACATCGATGTGAAAGAGACACATGCACATGGACTGGTTGGTTGTCGCCCATGGACTGGAGGGTGGGGAGTGAAACTGCAACCCAGGTATGTGCTCTTGACCCCATGACCGGGAGTCTAACCTGGTCAAGGGTTGGCACTCTAACCACTAGCACAGTGATGGCGAACCTTTTGAGCTCGGCGTGTCAGCATTTTGAAAAACCCTAACTTAACTCTGGTGCCATGTCACATACAGAAATTTTTTGATATTTGCAACCATAGTAAAACAAAGATTTGTATTTTTGATATTTATTTTATATATTTAAGTGCCATTTAACAAAGAAAAATCAACCAAAAAAATGAGTTCGCGTGTCACCTCTTTTTTTTAAAAAATATATTTTATTGATTTTTTACAGAGAGGAAGGGAGAGGGACAGAGAGTTAGAAACATCGATGAGAGAGAAACATCGATCATCTGCCTCCTGCACATCTCCCACTGGGGATGTGCCCACAACCAAGGCACATGCCCTTGACCGGAATCGAACCTGGGACCCTTCAGTCCGCAGGCCGACGCTCTATCCACTGAGCCAAACCGGTTTCGGCGCGTGTCACCTCTTATACGCGTGTTAAAGGTTCGCCATCACTGCACTAGCAACATGGGCCGGGGCTTAATGGCAATTATTTGACATTGGAGTGATTTCACTAATAGTTGTAAGATCAGAAGAGTCAGGAATCTGTTCTGTTGTATGTATTTTTCTGAGTCTCTGTGTCTGTCTTAGTAATGCTTGTGCTGGTTTCACTAGGACAGCTGTTCTGGGTGTGACCGGGGAGCGGGTTCTGAGCTGTGCTGTCGGCCAACATGATGGCACCTGCCTGGCAGCTGAAGGGCAGTGGCTAACTTTGACTTGAACCCCTTTTTTCAGCTCCCTCAGCACATTAGTGGTCCCAAATGAAAATACCTTCCAGTTTTTGTACACAGGAGGCACTTGTATTCCAAGGCAGAGCATGCCCCCATCGAATAGTGGGTGGGGGTCGCCACTGTGTCGTGCTTGCTCCTGTCGATGCAGTTGCCTGTTGTGGGGAAGCACTTGCTGTTGCAGAGTCTTATTGTCACGTATTGCTTCTGTGCGTTCTCCCTGTGAGTCTTGTTCCCGCTCTGAATGTTCTAACGTGTGCACATCTTTTCACACAGAGCTTTCAGCAGAAGCCAAAGCTGCGTTGCTTGAGTTCGAAGAAAGAGAACGCCAGCATAAGCAGGGCCGCTATGGTTCAAGGCGGGGCGGAAGGAGAGGAGGTCCTTTAATGTGTCGTGGAATGGGGGACCAGAGAAGAGAGAACAGTGAGAGGGGCCGCATGAAGGACCACAGACCTGCGCTGCTCCCCACACAGCCTCCTGTGGTGGTAACGTTACAATTTTCTTGAGTCTAAAACTAGAACAAATGAAAATATGCTTTTGTGGGTATGGCATTTTGTGTTGATCACTTAGTCTGGAAGTAAAGTTTAGTAGTAGGAATGCAGCTGAAGTTCATGAAGTGCACTTATAGTCTCTAATGATTTCATATGTGGTCTTATAAATTCTGTCCTCTAGTATTCGGCAGTAAAAACAATTCTGTTACAATCGCTTGTGAAGAAAGTTCTAGTAAGAGACCTGCTTCCATAAGGGACAGCCACAGAGCAAGCAGCCTTGCATTAGGGCGGGGCAGCCTGGGTCTGTCCTCAGTGTGGTGCGTGGCTCACTGGGGGTAGTTCTGCTGGTTGAACTGCCACGTCTGCCCACCTGCCCTGAGGTTGAGCGCATGGTGAGATGGCAGAGCCAGTGGGGCAGGGGGAGCAGCCTCCTTGCCTGCTGTCTCGTACAGCTTGTTACTGTGAACTTACTTCTAACTTTTACAATTCAGTCAGCATAAGTCGGTAACATGTCACCAGTCGTTTTCTTTGCTTTTAAATGTTGATTCCTGTGAATTTGTCTCTTTTGTGATTATAGACGCACTCTCCAAGATTAATTCCTCCAACCCAGCCTCAGCCTCCCCCCCCACCGCCACCCCAGCAGCAGCCCATTCGGAGCCTGTTCCAGCAGCAGCCCCTGCAGCCCCTGCTGCCCCTGCAGCATCCGCACCACCCCTCTCCTCCACAAGGAATGCATGTGCCACCCCAGATGGAGGCGCCCAGGGTGATGATGACCCCTCCACCCGTGACCCCACAGCAGCCCAAGAACATCCACATAAACCCCCACTTCAAAGGAGCGGTGGTGACGCCCGTGCAAGGTATGTGTCTCCTTTATTGTTGCTGTGGCCAAAGAGATGTCATGCTCCAGTCTGCAAGGATAACTTGGCTTCCTGATGTCTTCTCCACCCACTTAGACTCCTGCTACTCACGGGCCAGGTGCTTGCTAACAAATGTGTATCTTAGGTTCTGATTGGGTGGCAGGCACTGAATTTGGAGGGCAGGAGAAGCATTGTGGAGAATTAGCAGGGTGCTTCCTCGTGTCCCAATCAGGTGCTCTCTGTGAGTCCCCATGTTAGCTGTGTGTGTGTGTGTATGTGTGTGTGTGTGTGTGTGTGTGTATGTGTGTGTGTATGTGCGCGTACACGCACATAGATTCACCTTTAGTCATGAGTTTTAAGTGACAACCTCTCATGTTACCATTTCCTGCCCCAAGGAAACTGTTTTCATGCCTTTGGGAAGGAGCACATCTTTTTTTGTTTATTAATCCTCACCCAAGGAGAGATTTCATATATATATAAAATTTTAATATATTTTTAATTGACTTCAGAGAGTAAGGGAGAGGGAGAGGGAGAGAGAGATAGAAACATCAACGATGAGAGAGAATCATCGATCAGCTGCCTCCTTCACGCCCCCCACTGGGGATCGAGCCCGCAACCTGAACATGTGCCCTGACCGGGAATCGAACCATGATCTCCTGGTTCATAGATTGACCACTGAGCTGTGCTGGCCAGGTGAGGGTATTTTTAACATTGATTTTTAGAGAGAAGAAAGGAGGGGGAGAGAGAGAGAGAAAAGACATTGATGTGTGAGAGACACATTGACTGGTTGCCTCCCACAGGTGCCCTGACCAGTGCCAGGGATTGAGCCTGCAACCGAGGTACGTGCCCTTGACCAGAATCGAACCTGGAACCCTTCAGTTGGGCTGATGCTCTATCCACTGAGCCAAACGGACTAGGGCAGGAGCGCATCTTTATGCCTCTGTCAAGCACACGTGGGCTGCGATGCTTCTATCTCACGCACTGAGTTATGTTGGTGCACAAAGCAGACAAGCTTTTTGCAGTCATGGTCCTGCGCTCTAACAGTCAGCCACAAACACATTGATTTCTGTGGCAGGTTAGGGGATGCCATTGCATTGACAGATGGAGCAGCTAGGGCTGGGCTGGCTTCATTAGGAAGGTAAGAGTTGAAGAAGGCTGCTGGTGTGGAATCAGGTAGCTAGTGTGGAACACTTGGGTGGAAACAGCACTCAGGCCAAGAAGCACCCCTCTCTGCCTCCAGAGGCAGTGGGGAAGGCTGTGAGGGAAACAGCAGCATCCTTTGTGACAGCTAGGTTTCCATTAGAGCAGGAAGGGGACAGGCTGAGGCCAGCATGGGTTCTGGTGGCTGAGAACTTGGAATTCCAAAGGTGTGGTTGAGAAGTTTCAGAACTTGGGGAGAAGCCTGAGATAGGACTTGGAGTGTGGAGAGGGCCAGTGGTCTGGAGGTGCTGTGAAGTTGTGCTGTGGCCTTGGAGCAGAGGGCTGTAGGGGGCAGAGGAGGGTCAGTGTCCTTGTGTTGTTACAGGAGATTGCTCTTGTTAGACACACCTGGAAGGTCGGGTGTTAGTGCTCTCGGTCCCTGACCCCCTGACTGACCCCTTTACTTGTCCCCACCATATATTAGAATCATTCAGTGACCTCACTGTCTTACAGGGCAGGACATGTTATAGTCTGTGTGATTCACACATTACCTGTGTCTGCGCTAGCAGCTGTGGGAGGAAGGGACCAACACATGCTCATGGGGGCAAGGAGGGTGCAGGCAAGTAGCCCTTTCCATGGTGGCTCCCCAGGACGTGCCCCTGCAGGAATGGAGCTGTGGGGAGGATTTTACTGACGTCAGCATTGGGTATTGTGTATTTCCTTGCACAGTGAGGGAGGACTGGCAGTTGGAGAGGTGCACAGATTGGTGTGGCCTGATAGAAATAAGTGGTGGTAGGACATGCAGAGTGGGAGAGCGCTAAGGAAACTCAGGATGTCTTCCAGGTGTGAAGGGTGTGTGTCTTGCTGAGTCAGCAGCCTGATGGGCATAGACAGAGACCTGGCCTGGCACCCAGAGCTCATGCAGACTCAGTGAGTGCACATCACCTTGCCGGCAAGTTTTACACTCAGAACAAGCTAAATGGTTTTCACCACGAAGCCGGGGCTTTGTGCCACACATTCCTTCTCCTCGACACACCTTTGATCTTGAGATTTGCTGGTGTAGGGAGAGAGTGAGTGAATGAGCTTAAGTAGAAAGCAGTTCCTCTTGAGAGAGGCTTGGTATCTAGCTGCCTGCTGCACAGGTAAGAGAGAGGAACCCAGTGGTTCTTGGAGCTGTAGGCAGGTAGAAGGTACATGTAAAAGGTACCAGCGTGTGCACATCTTTTCTTGATGGCACACATTTCCTTTTTGAGGATGAAGTGTTCCATAAAATTATAATTAACCAGTTCTGATGGAAACTCAACGTGTTCTTCAGGTGTTCACTATTACAACCGTTGCAGTGAATCGAAAGCTAATCTAATCCATTAGGTACATGGGACAACAGAAGATGTAAGTCTTAAATATCAAATACTTGGAGTTTAAGGTTCAACTGGAATGGTCTGTTAACAGTTCAGGTTTTAAGTTCTCTCATAGACAGACTTGTCTTCCTGCCTGCAGACCAGGTGCCCTGCAGGGCCCCTAGGAGGACAGGTCGCAGATGCCCTGGCGGTCTGACTGAGGCCTTCTTTCTGGCCTGGCTGGATTCGATCTGTGCGTCACACCTGTTCTCAGATGTTCTTGTCAGCGTTTATTCTTTTTCTCCTCTTTCCTGTTGTGTTATACAATTTATTTTTTAACTTTTTAAAAAATATACTTTCATTGATTTCAGAGAGGGAGGGAGAGGGAGAGAGAGAGATAAACATCAGTGGTGAGAGAGAATCATTGATTGGCCTCCTTCTGCATGCTTCACACTAGGGATTGAGCTTGAAACCTGGGCATGTACCCTGACTGGGAATTGAACCCTGAGCTGGTTCATAGGTTGACGCTAAACCACTGAACCACACCAGCTGGAGGCTTTTTACAGTTTACTAAGAAAATGTTTAAAAATTTGGTGCGTAGTTTAAAAAAATGCTGTCTTTATGTTATTTAATGTGTAGTTTTTTTCTTCTTTACTTTCATGATAATCTTTTGAGGTCAGAGGTACTTTCTTTCTCCACTTCATGGTCTACTATTTTGCTTCAGGTATATAATCGATGTACCCAGAGCCTTTAGCCAGCTACATAGATTGAGGGGCTGGTTGCTGTTTTATAGGAAGCCTTGCAAATTGACTCTTAGTTTGAAATTTTGATTCATTGGATTAAGCCAGGGGTGGGCAAACTTTTTGACTCGAGGGCCACAATGGGTTCTTAAACTGGACTCAGAAGAAGGAGCTGCGGCCGTGTTTCCCAACGTTGCCATGTTAACGCTGCTGCTGGTGAAGGAGCGGAGGGGAGAGCAAGAGAACCCTCTGCTCTTTCGGCTCCGCGTGCCGGATAGAACAGCCGAACTGGCCGGATCCGGCCCGCGGGCCGTAGTTTGCCCACGGCTGGATTAGGCTCTCAAGAGAGGGATGTACTTCAATCTTTTATACACTTTATCAACATAAGTTTTTTCAGTTACACTTTGCTTTGATCAAGTGGTCTTACAGGTCCATCCAGCTACACTCTCACTTTAAGTGCACCTGTGGATGTATGATGTTAATTACAAGGCTTAGTGTAGCGGTTCTCAACCTGTGGGTCGCGAATAAGGAAAATACATCCTGCATACCAGATATTTACATGACGATTCATAACAGTAGCAACATTACAGTTATGAAGTAGCAACGAAAAAAATTTTATGGTTGGGGTCAGCACAACATGAGGAACTGTGTTAGAGGGTCGTGGCATTAGGAAGGTTGAGAACCACTGCCAGTGAGTGCATCTCAGCACTCTGTTTTCAAAACAGTTTTGATTCACTTTTAAACTGTATCATTTCTATATTTCTCATTTGCCAGAAATTTCTTTAAAATGTGCTATTTTAAAATATTATTATATTTTTGATTTATAAGCTTTGTTCTTATTCTTGCTTGTATGTAGCCTCACTTGGTTGTTCCTTTGTGCATGTCTGTGTTGTGATCTCTTCTTACAAGGACACCAGTCAGTCACAGTGGACTAGGGCTCACCCACCTAACCTCATTTTACCTTAATCACCTCTTTTTCCAAATAACAGTCCCATTTTGAGTTACTGGTGTTAAAACTTCATATGAATTTAGGAGAGGGCCATAGACCAGACCATAACACCTGACACTCTGAGAGTTTCCCAGATGATGGGACAGCACATCTTAGTGAGGTATAGCTGCCACTCACAGCTGTCACCACTTGGGTGCTGGGGTTCCCCCGCATCCTATCAGTAGATCTCACACGTTTTATATAGCTTAAACATACTCGATTTAGCCCCAGGTGTGAAACTAACATCTGGCTTCCTCCCTTAGAAAAGTGATTCCTTGTCCTTCTGATAGGTCAGTGGAGTTCTCCTCGTTTCAAAACAAAACAAAACATCTCAGCATAGTAGTTGTTCTTTGTAATGGTACCCTGAGCTGGTGTATTCCCTTGCTCTGCCTGCTTCACTCTCACCTTTGTTCCCTCTCACTCTTTTCATGACTCCAGAGGATTTAGATTTGAATTTGTATTTGAGTGGAGTCAGAGGTATACCTGGGATTGGATAGCCTGGGTAACCTGGAAGTGAAAAAAAATAAGTTGTTCCTTTGTTGCGAAATGTTTTAACCCTAAATGGGAATTCACAGTTGAAATGTAAGCTTCTTGTTGTGCTATTGTGTGAAGGCAGAAGCCCTTCCCTTTCTCTTGATGGAAACTTAATGTGTTTTATGTTGTACACATCGTATATGTTTTATGTTATACTTAGTTTATTGCCTTCCTTTAGCAGCTGGTCTGCGTGTGAGCACAACGTGTTTCTAATGAGAGGTGTTTTCCACAGTGCCCTTGCTGCCAGTCCCGAGCCAACAGAGACCTGCGGTGGGACCCCAGAGATTCCCAGTGAGTAGCAGCTGCTCTTCTGCTCCAAGACAGTGAGCACACACTAAGAAATATTAATATAGCAAATACAAGTGGGTCCAACTGAATATAAGTTTAAAGATTTATGAATATTGACCATAATTTTTGCAATGGAAAATGCTTATTAAAAGCTTAAGGTCAATGGATTTTTGAGAATGGGATTAATTTTGTCTAACTGTAAGATTGTTGAATCAGGATCATCAGTGGAATGCCTTTCATCTTAAAGAATATGAATTTTGATTTTATTTATTGCCTGATGTTAATAAGGAAGGGCCTTGCTTTGTTATAATTTGTGCTAAGTGTATATGAGCACATATGCATTTGTGTACATGTGGGTATATATGTGACATTCTAGGGAATAAGGATGAGGTCTCTATTTATAAAAACCTCGAAAGTCCTAATGACCATTGGTGTTATGTATATACTAGAGGCTCGGTGCATGAAATTTGTGCAAGGGCCTTGGCCCTCACCCACCGTAGCTTTGTTCGGAAGGATGTCCAGTCTAATTAGCATATTACGCTTTTAGTATTATAGATGTGTATATACATATATATTTATACACACATGTATATGTACATATTTTCTTTAATATGTTTTTACTGATTTCAGAGAGAGGGAGAGATAGATAGAAATATCAATGATGAGAGAGAATCATCGATCAGCTGCCTCCTGCAAGCCCCCTACTGGGGATCAAGCCTGCAACCCAGGCGTATGCCCTGACCCAGAATGGAACTATGACTTCCTGGTTCATAGGTCAATGCTCAACCACTGAGCCACACCAGCTTGGGATGGTTTTATATTTTAAAAGGAAGGTTTTGTCTTTAAAATATCTTTAAAAGAAAGCACACACACACTTTCCTGTACTTTCCATAACTCTTCATTCTTCCAGCATGTCTTAACTAGAAGAAAAATGTCCATTAAAGAGTTGTATATGTTTAAGTAAATTTTGTATATTTGAGATTTTGATTCGATTTGTAGGTGGTTCATGGTTTTATTAAATCAGTGAGGACATGGTCTTTCTGAAAACAATGCTGGAAAAAATGGATCAGACCATAAAATTTAAAGTGATTTATATGTAAAACAAATGTTTTGCTAGGCTAGAAACCTGATTTTCAGGAAATACCTGAATGACCTATTTGACTTTAGCTTTGATATTTCAGTAGATGTGTTTGTCGATGGCATTTAGCAAAAGGTTTTTAAGGTTTTTATTTTTTTAAAAAGATATTTCAGAGAGGAAGGGGGAGAGGGAGAGGGCAAGAGGGCTAGAAACATCAATAATGAGAGAGAATCTTTGATCGGCTGCTCCTGCTGCGCGTCTTCTCCCTCCCTTCTACCCCCCCCCCTCCCGCCCCCGCCGGGGGGCGGGGGGTGGGGGTGGGGGTGAGGGGGATTGAGCTGACAACCTGGCTATATGCCCTGGCAGGGAATCGAACCATGTCCTTCTGGTTCATAGGTCGATGCTCAAACCATCGAGCCACAATGGTCAGGCTATCGAAAAGTTTTAATGAAGGATCTAGATGTACAATCAGGTGATTACTCAAAACTAAAGTCAGTATTGGATTTAAGGGTCAGAGTTTTTATTTTTTTGAAAGTTCCTTGACTTGTAGTTATTATGGATTTCGATATGGTTTCTAAAATGGATTCTTACTGATTTTATTTTTTTATCTTTGCTAATTTTTCTTTAAATTACTTATTAAGTTTTAAAAACTAGTTATTTAAAAGCCAGGTGATACATAGTACAATTTCCTACTCAACGTGTTTGTCTAAATAGCTTAGGTTAATACTTGCATTACCCCAGGATAAGCTTGCATGTGTTTACTCATTAGATACACCTTTCCTGTGAGGTTGTTTAACTGCTTAGTTATTGTAAAGCACTAGCTTTTTGAGTTCTTTTTGCTGTTTCTTGGGATTGTGAGCATCTGTGTTAAAATTATTATTGGACTTATAAACTTTGCATTTTAGCGATAAAATTTGACATGAAAAAGCAATTGTAGTCGAAGAAAAACAAAGTAATGTATGTAATCAATATTTTTGCAAAAATTAGTTTACTTATATAAAATTAGAATAATCATTTGTAGTTTTCATCCACTTGTACTTTCCAATTGGGCAAATGCTTGAGTACCAGAGGATAACAAGAGAAGGTGCTTTGTGAGGCAGTGAACTTCGTGTAAGTTACACGGTACTTTGAGGGTGCTGATCCTGTCAGGCTGCTTTGAGCTTGGATGACAGGAAATAGTTGCACCAGGACAATGTCATGTGGGTGATATAATTTGAGAAATGTTTTCTTCAGCTCAGTTATTTGCTGCTGCTGTTTAACATGTATCTTTTTTAAAGGCCCAAATGCTAGATCTTAAGCAGTGAACTTTGGTTCTTGAAAATGCAGAGCTCTGTTTATTTCTGTAATCAGTCTCCTGCAGAGAAAATAATCAGATGTGGAATCTATTTTAAAAACATACAGTAAAGCATGTTTTTAAAATGTCCATCAAAATATTTGGGGACAGGAGGTTAATTCTAGGTCATCTTCTATTGTTTTACTTATGCTAGATCTTTTTTAAGTAATACTATTTTTCCCTTTTGTACTACTAGGGTAAACTTGTTGCGATGAATGTAAATGTAGGTTTGTGAACTTTTAGTGAATTTCTTTTTCACGCCATGTGCTCTGCATAGTGCTAAAACGAACCCAGCCCCGTTAAAGGAACGCAGCCCAGTTAAAGGAAGCCCAATTCTCGTCCTTAAGCCAGTGTTCACTTGAATGCTATTATATAAATAGTGGAGACAGTGTTGTGGATTCCACAGCCCCTGGGAGATGTCTTACTGATGGCCCTGGACCCTGTGGGCTCTGTCCTGGTGTTTTCCAATAGGGGACTTTGGTCAGCATTCACTAAACTGAATTTTGCCTTGTAAAATGAACATGCTCACTCACAAATAAATTGATAAAACATTCAAGTTAGGAAGCCTAAGTTCAGATTCATCGTGGGCTGTGTGTGAATCAGCACGCCTCTTGTTACACAGAAGGTGAAATGACAGGACTCTGGAGCAGGAGCGAAGGTCACTGGGACCTGCTCTGTCCCCAGCTTCAGCCCTGCAGTGAGCTCCATTGCTCCTGCGAGAGGTCATGTTCTTGTTGACAGCTTCCTGTTGCCAACGCGTTTCCTGAGCCCCTGGTTTGTAGAGGAACTCTGTGAAGTCCCATTTGTCCTGTGCCCGGTGGAGCCACCTGGGCTGGTGCAGATGAATAGCTGTTAAGTAAGTGCACACAGGAAGTTAGTATTGAGTCATCGTGCTATTTATTAGAGACTCCATACACGGAGTAGTGTAGAGCGGGTATATATTACCTATTTACTTTACTTTTTTTGTTTTCAAGAACACAGATGTGAATTTGTGCATTTAACTCTATGGACTTCAGCTCTAACCAACTGACGAATGAGTAGAAGAGGCAGACAGGAGACATAGGACTAGATTTCCACATTGATAAGCACACAGTTGGGGTACAGTTGGTATTAATGCCATGGCTTTCCTTCTCTTCCCCAAAAGTGGAAACTTTACTTTCTTAAAAGCTCATTTTGTTTGACAATCTCATGAAAACTTGAGAACTTCTTAATTTAGAACTAGTATGCCTAGAAATTGTGCTAAGTGATGATGCCTCTTCTTTTTAAATTAAAAATCACCGAGATTGGCCAACCTAATATGAGACAGTGTTTTCAACCTAATGTGAGACGCTGTCTTTGTGTCTGAAGTCTGTTTTCAGTTCCCAATGTTTTTTGTTCTACATATTAGTCTAATAGGTTTCACTTTCCACAAAGGCTCTTCCTGATGTTTTTGTTCTTAAATGTAAAGTCCTTTCCTTATGTACAAGTATGTTTTCCAGTTACGTGTTTGTCCTCAAAGAGATGGTTGTTGTTTTTAAAGTCTACCTGCTTAAAAAGTAAGATGAAAATTTCGATTAATGATACCTGAAAATGCAGCTTTGAGATTTTGCTAGTTGGTTTCAATGTCAGTGCAACTGCTGCTTTTGAGTACAGGAATCCTTCCTAAGACACTCACATTGTCAAGTTTCTTGACCTAGGGCCGTGGTCAGCAAACTGCAGCTCGCGAGCCACATGCGGCTCTTTGGCCCCTTGAATGTGGCTCTTCCACAAAATACCACATGCGGGCGCGCACATACAGTGTGATTGAAACTTTGTGGCCCATGCGCAGAAGTCGGTATTTTGTGGAAGAGCCACGCACAAGGGGCCAAAGAGCCGCATGTGGCTCGCGAGCCGCAGTTTGCTGACCACTGAGTCCTAGGGCAGTGATGGTGAACCTATTTTTTGGTTGATTTTTCTTTGTTAAATGGCATTTAAATATATAAAATAAATATCAAAAATATAAACCTTTGTTTTACTATGGTTGCAAATATCAAAAAGTTTCTATATGTGATACGGCACCAGAGTTGAGTTAGGGTTTTTCAAAATGCTGACACGCCGAGCTCAAAAGGTTCGCCATCACTGTCCTAGGGTATTCTAAAACCTATTCAGTCATTGCTTTTGCTTTGCTATGTCAGGAAATGCTAGTATTTCAAGGGTAGCCACTTAAATACTAAGTAGTTTGGCTGCTAAAAAATTTCTTAGTGATCTTTTTTTATTATTTTTTTAAATATGTTTTTATTGATTTCAGAGAGAGAAGGGAGAGGTAGAGAGCGTTAGAAACATCTATGAATAGAGAGAATCATTGATTGTCTGCCTCCTGCACACCCCCTACTGGGAATCGAGCCAGCAATCTGAGTATGTGCCCTGACTGGGAATCGAATTGTGATCTCCTGGTTCATAGGTCGATGCTCAACCACTGAGCAACACCGCCCGGGCGATCTTTGTTTATTTTAAAACTAAAAGTTATGTTAAAAAAGATTTCAGTTTAAATTAATTTTCTTAGCAATTACATTACTACTTAGGTAGACCCAATAAATGAGATTTCCGTTGGTGTTTCCTTTGTAGGCACAGTTC